TTTTTTTGTAACGTCGAGGATACAGCATTGTAATGCGGCCCTGCATTGTTGGGGTAAAGGTCTTTACTTAGTCATGAAAGCAGTTTGAAACAAATTTACTGGCACTTCCATTGATCACTTGTTCTTTTAACATTTATTCCAAAATAACCCAACTTTTTAGGGATTTTAAGGTCTTGTTTATTCTGTGCAGCTTGATTCTTGAGTTGGTATTTGGCCAGCGATATCTCTATTTTTGTCTCGCCGTAAGCGTGCGTTAAAGCTGAATTTGAAATTTTTAACTGACAGGGGCGCAGAATATCCTTTTGTAATTTCAGCTTTGTGTTTTGTCTGGTTCCCAAAACTGTTTCCCCGTCATAAAATTTGCACGTTTTCTTTTTATAATTATCTCCGTACACGAGACTTAGGCTAACGTAAACATAGGTTTTAAATTGGTCGGATTGCACATGGGCTGGAAGCACCTTCGCGAGATTTTTTCTTCCTTGCTTCTTCGGGTGCTGAGTTGAAAAGTGTGTAACAATATCCAAAATGAACACACACACACACACACACACACCGACGATTTCTCGTCAATATGCGTTTTGCAGTTGTATGTGTTAAAGCATATATATATATATGCGTGTACGTGTGTATATGTTTGCTCGTGCTAGTCTCTCCAGGTATTTGAAACCGGCAACCAAGCAGGCTTAGTTTAGACTGGTGCCATTCTCCAATTTGCTTCTTCCATTTTTGCCTCATCTGTTTTTCTTTGACACTACAAATTGGCGTGCGCTTCCTTTGTTTTCCTGCTTGAGTACAGCCGGTATTGTACGGAGATAGCTCATTACAGGCGCTAACTTTTTGCAGGAACGGAAATCGTTCCAAAACAACACAAGTTCATTGGCTGAGCGTGCAAAGAGAGCTGAAATTGCGCTGCTGGAGCATAAACTGGAGACAGGTGTTGCGATACTTGAAAGAGCACACAAAGACGCTGGACAGCGTGTCAAGGATCTGGAGACTGAATTGGCAAAGTGCGGTTTGCTAGTTATTTCATTGTGGCTGTGTGATTTACTGCAACTTACCGCGCTAGTTCATCGTTTTGGGAGATTGGTTTCGGTATTGAGCTAATTCTTGCGTCTTCTGCCATCAGAGCTTGCGCCTAAGTACTAAATTTTGCAGCTCGGTTTTTTGCTTTTTCTAGGTTTTAATGTAAGCGGGCTTTTGCAGAATGCGTAATGAATGTGTGGTTGTCACCTACTTGCCCCGTTCATTATTTTATTCCTCATTCCATCGCTCCTGCTTTCTCCCTTACCTTGACTTATAATTAATGCTTAATTTTTCCAAATTTTTTTTAGATTACGAAGTGGTTCCTCACTTTCCGAGGACCTAAAAGGAGCAATTGCAGAATGGAAAGCTAAACGGGAAGAAGTTGCAACTCTAATTACAGCTTCAAAAAATGAGTTTTTCGCGCAGGTAATTTATGTTTTTACTCAGCTCGAGAAATCCAATGGGTCATTCAAGAGTCGTTGCCACTTTCGAAGTCCCTGGAAACGATAATGTGGCCCCCTTCTAGTTTGTTTTTGAATCCGAAATCTGCGCAGATTTTGCCTATAAGTTATCAGTTTGTTCTGCATTCACTGACTTTCCTTTTT